TGAAAAACAAACACATTATAAACATTCATTCTGAGAATTTGTGGAACTGATGACTAATGGAGTTCAAGTTCTTGAAACGGCGCTCGGAGTAGAGATGATAGCAAAGGAGCACGCAGTACGAAAGGGCGCAGACAGACGGCAATAAGAGAGCCAGTCAGCATCAGTGAAGCGGAACCACTGGCAAGACCTTAGAACCCTTGTCGTGCACTTTCCAAGCAGTAAAAATAGCTGTAATCTGTGATGTTTGTATACAGCTCTACCTTAAAGCAACACCCCAGCAGAAGTCGTGTCGAAGAATCTATTCTTGGGTAGGGTAGAGTAGCCCACGAGTATCACAGATGTGCCGTTGTGCGGCTCGAAAGTGCGCGACAATGGCGCTAGGTCTTACAAAGTGACTTATGGCGACTAATCTTAACGTATGGACGAGTTACGTCGCGCACACCCCATGACACGCAACGTGGATTACGGCGTAGCGGCTAATTCAAATACGCGCGGGTTAGTTGAGCCGTGGAGCAGGCAACAACTCGTCTGGCCCCGCCCCTTCCTTATTTCAAGGGGAACTTATATTTAGGGCTTCATCGACGGCTTGCATTGCTTATTTTCCTTTTTAGTCAACTTGGTTCCCCAACTCCATAATCGACCACAAATTCGATCTGAGGATGTTGCTCCATCCACAAAAGGATTACCCCAATGAACAATCGCGGAATGTACCTTTAATACGTTCAGGTCAAGATTTGAACGATTGCAGTGGCTGCAGCAGTGGTCGCAGACTTTACCATATGGCTGGGACCAAGAGGGATTAGTGGTTTTCGCTTTTCTCACGTGGTTCCCCAACTCTACAAACCTTTGATTGGTAGTGCACGCGACCATAGCAGTAGTTTGAAGCTCCAAAAGTACAATTTCGCTGCTCAGCACCTTCGCCAAGCACGTTAGCCTCTGTAATGCCCAAACCTATCGCGACGCGAAATTTTAATAATTTCATTTCCAATCCAAATAGATTTGACTTACTGAGAGAAACGCGGTACCAGGCACCATAATTTAGCAAAAATATTTAATATGACAGCTTTTAAGATTAAGATTGGAGGCTTCTTAGAGCATCATTCATGCGATAGAAACACTCAAGTGCTTCACTGACATTTTCATTTCCATAGACAAAGCACATCCAATTCACAAACAAAAATCTGCATATAACTAGCGTTTACTTATTCGGGTCGTTCATTTGCTTTTACGATATTAATTGTTACTAGTTAGCGAAATGTCCCACTTAACACTCTTCTGACCATGTGGGATCAGCAATGTGTCCCACTTGGTAGTACAAAAGTCTTTCTGCCACGTTTTGCGCACTCTATTGAATCGGAGGGTCCGCTTAAATGCGAATGTCACAACTACGAAAACTTTCTTAACCCCACTGTCAGCGATGGCTTATTATCAGAGTTACAGCGAGTTACGCGGATAAGGCGATAACAAGTCGTTTCCACACGTCCTGCAAGTGTGCACAGCTCCCAAGGAGGTACTCTGGAAGTGTAGTAGAAATTCAGGTGGTGGCCTTCGAGTCACTAAAAACTCAGTCGAAAATGCTGTTAGAGGACCAAGTAGCGCTGGTGGACGCGCCGCCTCTGTAAAATATAGGGAAGCGCAACTTCTACATGAAGTGGCTGCTTGCACCTATTCTTCAAGGTTTATCCGTCACCAGAACATAATCTAGACCTTGTTCCACGAATGAGATGTGATAATGTGTATTTGTTGAATGGTCTTTGAACTGTTCGAAAATGCTCATTCGAGCGGAGATGGTGTGGTGACAGGAGGCCACTGCCGCGCACATGGTCTCTGGATCGAATCCCAGCTCAAACCCAGCGCGCATCAGCCAAATTTCTACAGATGATTAGTTGTTGCTAGGAGCAACTGTTACTACATAAAATCACATCAATAACTTGTTTTTAAAAACGTTGGCGACAATGGCACCCGACGGTCGGGCGACACCCCAACTTATTGAAATGCTTATATTTTTTTCTTTCTTCTGATTACTTCTATATCTGTAAGGCTAATAATATTCATTTGCCTTAGGTTTTTCACTTGATATCGTTTTACTACATTTCAAAAATAACACAAAACGTAATATGACGCAACTAGCAGTTGAGATTTCTCCCAAAATTTGTGGCGCGTTTGGAAGTATTCAATACAGAAGAAGCCCCCACAAGTACTACATTGAGTTCCCACTTTTCTATACGTGATCTAATAGTAACTAATAGTAACTACCATGTTCTTCGGAAAGTCATGCTATAGCAGCCTCGACAACATCTGCTGTCTCAGCAGCATCATTATGAAGTCCATATTCTTTATCGAAGGAGGTTTGATCTAGCAGAAACATCATCCTTGGTCCGCACATCGGCCTTTATTCGTCGCTTTTGCTTGCATGTTCAAAAACGTCGTCTTCATTCGGGTTAATAATGCCCCGTACAAACCGATGGCTCTCAAGTTGCAGACTTTCGTCGCCAAATTTGCGTCAGTTGAAGCCATTTCGGCGCCGCAAATTTCGAGTCCGTGACCAGGGTCTTATTCGTGTTCAGGCCGGTCGTGTCTCCAGCGGAGGGAATAATCTACACAAAATAGGTGTTTAAGCCTGACCATCCTGATCAATGAGAAATATCGTGGCGTTTTTCCAAGATACGCCCAATTAGGTTAGCCAAACTGCTTAATGGCGCGAACTCTTGCTCCTAAACTATCTCTGAGTAATTCGCGTGCTCTACGACGCATTAATAATTTGCTATGGTGACTAAACTATGCAGAGAAGATTATTACAGTTCTGTTGTCCGTGTCCCACACAGCCTAGACACGCCTCAAACCGCTTGTCGCCAACGTGTTTACCAAAGTCCCGTGAGTCAAAGGGTTAAACAACCCGTCCCACGGAAAAAGCGTACTGACACACCATTACCTTTGGTGAAACTGGGTTATCACAGAAAACGGATTACCTTAGAAGAGAAACTGGTGCGCACGTGAAAGAGGCGACATGTGGCTCTTGCGTGTGGTAGAGGAGAGTGAGTTATGCCGCCACTACCACTTATGTCCCGTTCCCTTTTTGCTATGGCCATTGGCTAGAGCCTAACAAGGGGGGTCGGTAAGGCAAGCCACACTTTTTCAACTGTTCTCGAGTATCTGTAGGATGTCATGTAGGGAATACGAAACCGTGCTTTCTAGTTCGCGAACCTCTTTTATCAGCGACGCGAAAAACAAAAAAGAAGCATAAGGTACTGTTAAGTGGTTCGATCCCCGTGGCGACTAAATTTTGCATTTGGGTTGGCGCCTACGGTTGGTGCCAAATCGCGCTAAATATCAAAATCAGATGTCAATTCATCGTCAGGACCATTTTGAAGCCAACAAGTGGCCGCCAACCTTGATTGCAAAATTTAGTCGCCGCGGGGGATCGAATCGAAGGGTATCATTCACAACGGTTTCCTTTTCTGCGTACCTTTTTTTGATCTAACTAAATACCCCGTAAATTAGCAAAGAAACCCGAAGCATTGGTCTTACACTGAATCCACCGACTATGCGTCCTACAAATAGAAAAGAAGGCCGTTTACGCAAGAGCGCGCGTTTGCTCGCTAATCCCCCCTTGTAAGGGCATCGTTTTCCTAGGGTAATGGGTGGCGGAGCTTTTTCCGCGGAAGATTCCTTTAATTTCCATAAACTTCCTGTACCGGTATACTTTGGAGGCAAGCGCAAATGAAAACCTCAGAAAACTTTGATCCTCTGAAGGAGGCAAAGCAGAAAGCGTGGAAACATTTTGACACTCCTTAGTTGCGTGCCACCGCACACGCCACCCCTCTACTTTGAGATAATAGTGACAAACACTTCCCTGAAGTTTGTTTATTCCATCAAACCACAATGCGTTTTTCACGACATAATGTCTTGGTCCTCACAATTTTGGCCCACCCTGTACATCGCTATGAGATTTCGAGACAGCACCTCCTACGACAGTCTGATAGTGTTGAAATCAAATAAAGATCAAGGATTTACTTCAAGCAGATATCTAACGTACAATATAGCTCTAATCACTAGACGTGGTACAGCACACCCAATTCGAAAGCGATTTTACAATTTCAAGGTGAAAGAACGGAATCAGTGAACCCACCAGCAAATAGCAAATCAGTTTCCGTAGAATGAACTATTTCCCTTCTTCAGTTTTTTTTAGAATGGGTTCTTTCACCTCCCTTGAAGGTGAAGCGGCGGTGGTTTTCAGCCTACGGGTGCAGAACAATTATGTCGATCGTTGCAATAAAAAACAGTAAAAATTGTGGAAGGAGACGATCAAGCATCAGAAGAAAGTTATAATTGCATTTGATTCTGCACCGCAATACCGCTAATAAACAACCCCTAACAGGTAATAAATCAACGCACAAATACGGAAACATTAATCAACGGATTAATTATGATGAATTATAGATACATAACCGAATCAGAACAGATCACACATCGACACAGATACAACAGATCGGAGATGTCAGGGTGAAATTAACTACACTATTTACAGTAAATCTACTTCATGCGAGGAATATAGCACACACCTCCTAACAAAACTACCTTGAAAAGACCTTAAACGCTGATTTTCACTTTTTTGAAAAGCTTTAAAATATACCATCGATATAATCAAGAACAAAAATTCAAGCCACTAGAAACCCTTCTCACGAAGATCGCGTCCCTTTTCCGACTCTATGTACATCCTGAAATAAAATAAATCAATAATATTCACTTGATATTGCTTAAACACAGCGGGTGATGGCTGATAGGCGGACCGGATTCGATGACGACGATGAAAGGATGTGGAGGCTGGGGATGGCCACATAACCACACATGGGTTCAGAAAACAATATTAATCGGTCCCAAAATCCGAACGGCGAGTAGAAATGGCAAATGTTTGCACCGGGGCGCTCGTGTCGCTAGGGGGAGGGACATTCGAGTCAGTGAGCCATCCACAGTACTTTGGACTAGACCTGAGAGAGAGGAATCGCTGGTGAGGAGGCGCATTTTGTCTCCGCCTGCGTTTCTCCTCTCTTGCGCTTAACATGTCATCTCATCGGCTGTAGGCCTTGTTTTGCCCATGCTTCTCACCTAATTTGCACTGAATCCACAGAGGCAGCCTAGAGACTCAGCTGCGAAGAGCGAAGCTCAAAATGATCAGAGATCAGCGCAAACAGCAGCGAGTAAAGAGCAAACGCCAGCCACTAGTGGCAGCAAACGATGTAACAAAAAAATGAACCATATTATTCACCTTCTGTGTTTGGCTATCATCTCCCTCTTCGCTACCTGATACGGTGTGATGTCCATATCCATCTGTTGATTGACCATAGACACTGCCGAAGCAGAGGGTTGAGGAGGTGAAACTGTCAAGGCGGAATCGGACGACGACACGACATCATCACCGCTACTGTCATCGTCATCGTCAAACAACAAGTCTTCATTTTCTCCTGGCTCACCATTTATTCTCCATGGACGCATTCCATCCTACATATGCGTTAAAAATAATGAGATCAAAAAAAAGAAAATGAAAAGATAAAAAAGGAACGTACATCGCTACCCATGATACCAGCTACAAAACCGATTCGACCCTCCAATATATTCTCAATTGTAGCCTGCGATGACCCACTGATGCGTAAATCTTCCATTATAGCTTCTATAGGCATCTGAGGAAACATCTCATGAACCTGCAAAAATCGTACTCACAATTCTGCAGAAACTCATGCCTTACTGAGCGATACCTGATGAGCCATTCCAGTCAATTGTGAATCATCATGTTGCGCCTGTCGCCTTAGAAATGGGTTCAGTGGGGACGTCCCTGTTGAGAACTCTATGGAGAATGACGGAAGGCGTAGAAATCCGAACCTTAAACATCAGTGAGTGTTAGCAAATTTCAAATGCAGTGTACCATAGTACTTTGAAATGAGACACGGTTTCGCAGAGTAGACCAAGGGAGCCTTCGTTATCGAACTGCTTGGAAAACCAACACAGGTTATGACTCTGTTGGTACTAATTCCCCTGATATTTTGCGATTCAACATCTTCAACATTGCGCCACCAGCAAGGATAATGAATATGACTGCGTGATAGAATGTTTCATTACTAATTTTGAAAAGCCACAATTTCATGGTATCGTCACATGAGCCAAAAATAAGCCTTTGTCAAGCTTGGCAACCAGGCTATTGTTTGTTGCCGGCAGCGGCCGAAAAAAAAGAAACGGTGCAGCTTCTACTAAGACTTCGTTTGTCGTGGTCGCTTTGGGTTGGCCTAGCCGCTCGGAAACAAACCAAAAAAAAACGTGGAAGCGCATTCAAGATTATAAAAACCAACTCACACTTAAGAAATCTAAACGAAAAACTACCGAATGGTCAGAATCCTTAATGAACCCCTCCAATGGAACAATTGTATGGAATATCTGCCCGGTATAGGGGGTGCAGTCCACTAGGACAGAAGGCGACTTGCTCGTTTCGCGCGCGAAACTTTTCGCTACGGGAACTCCAGGGGCCGTAAGGTATGCTTTCCCGAAAGGTTGGGGAACGAAAATCCCTTTGAATTTTTTTTTGTTTTGA